CTAAACATGCAGCTGGACCATCACTGTCACGTCTACTTCCGGTTTTACTGTGTAGCTACAGTCTCGCGAATTTAAAAATAAAAAGCAGAACAAACCAACAACACGAAGAGTTAATTAGTTACGTCATTTTTAACTAATCGATATCAATTCTAATCCTTCAGTTAAAGTTCAAGTTTTTGACACTTGTACTATAATTAATAAGCATTTTGTGGAATATTTATTTGATTTGTGTAAGTTCAAGAAAATACTTTTATATTTTAATCTTTAAATCCAAGAACTGGTTCAGTTCTCATACTAAGTGGACAAAATCACTGAAGTGGACTCTCACAAGTCATACAAACGTTCCCCAACCTAAATAATATGTAATATTATCAATTAAAGACCAAGTCAACCCCTACCAGACCCTTAAAGGTAAAGTGGAGGATGCTTCTGATTTCTGGAAAGACCCGCCCGCTCCTTGTTTTGGAAAAAATTACATGCATGAGATAGAACACAGTTATCCTCGTTACAAGTAGCGGCAGGCCTTGCAGCTAACTTCTTCCAGCAGTAATCTGAAACAAATTTCTCCAAATAGTAGGGCTGGGCGATATTGACCAAAACTTATATCTCAATATCTTTTAGCTGATCTTTTAGCAATATCTCGATATTTTTCCTCCTGTAAAATATTTACAAGTTCACTCACTTCAAGCTGTCTTGAGAAATTGTACATAAATCAGTGGATTAAATGCATAAAAATGTATTGATTATTGTCAAACTTTAACCTTAGTGTCCATTTTCTACCAGTCTGGGGTCTCATTTATCAAACATTGCGTACAATCCTTACTAAAACTGTACTTAAGCTCAGCAAAAACAAATGAGAGAAAATCCAAGGAGTGGCACAGCGCTGCTGAAGTTGTTCAATGTTGTGAATTCTTCAGAGAGATCTGGCAGATATTAAAAAAATGGTCCAATCGGGATTTGATCGCTAGACTCTCGGGTGAACGTCACGTGCGCTAACCAGTCAGCCAAACGGAGATCTCCCCTGTACAAGTAGGCAGGGCGCATGATCGATCAGGTCACAGTGACAGGACACACACCGTCACAGACGCATGACATTCTGTCTCAGTCTGTCCCCCTGCTGATATTCTGCATTCTGTATTCTGCGCTTCAGGCTGTGTGTGTGTTTGTGCACGTGTGTGTGAGTGTGGGGGGGTCTTCTTCTGTATGAGAACGAAGCAATACAAGTGATAATGTTGCAGGATTTCATAATTTTATCCTTCTCAGCAGCAGCACTGCAGGTGCTCTCCATGTCCAAAATGTGCATAAGCCAGGTCTTTAGTCAACTTAAAGTTGCGCACATTTTTCCACTAAGTTTTCTTTCATAAATCCCAAAGTTTGCATGGAAAGTTGCTTACGCAGTTTTCTGACCCCGTTTTGTGTGTAAGCAAGCTTGATAAATGAGGCCCCAGGTCTTTAGAAATACTGGTACAGCTGTCTGCTATTACACACACACACACACACACACACACACACACACACACACACACACACACACACACACACACACACACACACACACACACACACACACACACACAGTTGAGAGCTAGAGGTGTATCAAATGTCCCACAGGCACTTTTTAATTATATATTTATAATTAATGTCAAATTATTTAAATTCCATCTAGAGGTGGCCATATCGTATATTTCTTGTCCAGAGAAAATAAATCTATCATGTTAAACTATATGTATGATGATGTAATTGCATCTACTGAAGATCACATGGGTCATGCACCGTGGAGCTGTTAGTTATCAGGGCAAACATGGCTGGAATCTAACAGTATTCACTCATATCAGCGATTATACTGTAATGACTCTGAGTCTCTGAATATTATTTTCGGGCGACTGTCGCCGTAGCCCACGCCTTACAAACTCTTAACTTTTTCAGCAGAATCGCTCGTAACGGAGTATTTACTAGCATAGCAAAAAAACGAAACAACATTTCTCACCCGTTGAGCTTGCCTTCTAAATTAAACGGTAACCCTATAGTTAACTATTCAAACCCTTACAATATGTTTGAGGTAGTTTGGCCACTCTGGCTTTCTGTAGATGTTTCCTCATTGCACAGGGGAGGGAGGGGTTTGACTTGTTTCTCCGCACAGGCAGGATGGATAAACAGAACTCCGTTGGCGTTGAACGTCCCCAAATAATTAAAAACCAGGAAGCCAAATGTCAAGTTTAGAGCAGCACATTTACCCAGAGGCTCTCAGATTGAGCAAACTTGTGAGAATACACGTAATAACCGCTTAGAGACGGAGCAACATGTCGCTAGCATAGCGGCTAATTGCTAGCATAGCAGTTTGACCAGTTATATAGAAATAAAGATGTAAAGTCATCTTATATCTTGTTTAAAAATTATACCGATATTTAAAAAATATCGATATATCGCCCAGCCCTGCCAAATAGTATGCTGAACTTTAGCTTACCTGTCGAGCAGAAAACCGGCGACAGAGGCGTCTGTGGGTAGCTCAGACTTCGCTTTGCGCATGCGCAGGAAGTGAAGGCTACCCAGCGACGTACGACTACAGCCTTGCGTGAATGGTTCACCAGAATAATTGATTGTTAAGTGGATCAATGGTTCAGATGATCCACCCGGACGAAAAAGATCCTTTGCCATACCTTTAAGCATGGGGCACACCGGAGGCAGACGCGTCGCGCCCGCGCCGTCATTTTAAATAGAAGCCTTTATATGTAATGAGAGTGGGCACACGGGGTGCGCCTCATTCCAGAAGCGTCGTGCCGAAGCGCTGAAGATAGGCACCAGTCCTGTCGTCAGCACCTCGGCTGTTTACAACACTGTGGAGCACTTTACAACAGACGTTACGACGCGGAACGGCTTCATGGCACAAACCCAGCCGCAGTTTTGATAACTTTAAAGTACTATTGATCTTAAAATATTCTGATAAATAGTGTACCCATTTTTACCTTTTTTTTTTTTTTTTTTTTTACCATTACCCATTTTTTGTTAATTCAAGTCACACAAAACATGACGGCAAGTCTGATCAAACAATAGAATCACGTCCTGCTTTTTGTTTTCAAATCCCGCTTGATATTTGACTATTGCGCGACTTTCCAAGAAGCGCTCAGCGGCACGGCGCTTCCTTGACCACTTGACTTCTCAAAATCTCAGGCGCAACGCGTCCGCCTCCGCTGTGCCCCACGCTTCACTCCACTCCCACTTCCTTTTTGAAAAATACAACAAATACTGTTGCCTGGCTGACAAATACACACACACAGGCTCACAACAACATTGTGACGTCATAATGTACCAGCTACCGTCATAGTGTACCTCTTAACCAATAGCGATGGCAGATTTAAATTCAAATGCAGAGTTTTCACCTGAAGAGGGTGCAACACTGTCAGTTTTAGGCAGAATATTTCAGTTTTAACTAAGATGCACTAAAATGCCAAATTACTGACCACACGTGTCTACAGCATGATTAGACATTCATTTATAGTGTATTTATAGTGTATTAGCAAAAACTAAGTTGATTTGGGGTGACTTGCTCTTTAATGTTTTAATATTACATATTAATACCTGAGCAGTTAAGATGCTGCAGGTTGTGGTAAAGATATGATAAATGACCCGCACTTGTATAGCGTCTCTCAGAGTAAGGACTCCAAAGCGCTTTACACTACAGTGTATCATTCATCCATTCACACACACATTCATACACTGGTGGGGATGAGCTACGATGTAGCCACAGCTGCCCTGGGGCGCACTGACAGAGGCGAGGCTGCCGTGCACAGGCGCCACCGGTCCCTCCGACCACCACCAGCAGGCAAGGAGGGTTAAGTGTCTTGCCCAAGGACACAACAGCCGGGATCGAACCTGCAACCTTCCGATTACTGGACAACCCGCTCAACCTGTTGAGCTACTGCTGCCCCAATAAAGATAAACACTTTAGTGGAATTGCCCTTTAACCAAACACTGAAACAGAAGCTAACTTCAGTCTCATCCATCCAATGAATGGAATAACTTTTAACGCTTTGGTCAGAGCTAACAAGCTAACTTTTTATCAAATAAAAACAGGATTTAGTATGAAGCGGCACGGTTGGCCACAACCCTGTGTCATGTCTGCAGGAGTGAAGTCGGTCCATATTGATGTCGGTAAGGAGGAGGTTCTGGTGGAGTCTGTTCTCACCAGCGTAGAGGTCCAGGCCCTGATCGAGAGCACCGGGCGCAGAGCTGTGCTGAAGGGCATCGGGGGATCAGAGAAAGGTGAGGAACAAGGAGAGCATTGAGGAGTTCAAACACAAACGGAACAGAATGTAGAAAAAGCATTTTCTTTTTAAATAATGACAAAACTGTTCCACCATATCTCACTTTCCATAATCTGATCATGATAATCAAATCATAAAATATAATGTACAACGCTGCTTCAGCTCATAGGGCATCGGGGGATCATTTGTTAGTTAAGGAATTTTACATGAATCTGTAGTTTATGTCAACATACACATGTGGAGTTCTCCTTTGGCATCCGTGTGTTTACAACAGACCTGGGTGCAGCGGTGGCCATGTTGTCTGGAGCAGGGTCGATCCAGGGCGTGGTGCGTTTCCTCCAGCTGTCTGAACACCACTGTGTGATCGACGGGACCATCGACGGGTTGGAGCCTGGAGCTCACGGGCTT